AGCTCCACTCCACCCAAAAGACTCACTACCCTTTAATTTTTTAAAATATGTAAGCAAAATTGCCACTAACGCACCCCAACTCACCTCTTGTAACCCTCAACCCGTACATGTCAGTTGTTGGTATTTCTTAACGTCGTTACTAGAAATATGAATTCCCAGCAATGGCACAAAAATAGCCTTGGTATATTTATGGTTACAGATGTAATCTGCAAGTGCACGGATATACCAATGTAGTATTTCACCCAGAAGTATTCCAAGGTATCGTATTTATTTAATCCCAAGGGAAGATTTAAGAGAGAACTATGCTAACAATATATATACATCACTTGTATAATAAAAATCTAAGCAGGAGTTAATTCATATGTATGGGTAGAGTGACCCGAAGCATAAGAACTTTGATTCTCTCATTAATTAATCCTAGGCTATGTGGAAGAAAAAATAGAAAATCAATCAATTCCTACACTTCTAATATACACTCAATTCTAGTTTACATCTACTAGTACATAACTGTGCAGCCAATACCCCTATCAGTGCCCTCCTGCTGTTTCAAGAGACCACCCGGGTTGCCGAGTTTCTTACGACAACCTGTCATGGCCGTCCAACCAGGGCTAAATACGGAGGAGTATCCTCCCTAGGGAATTGTCTTAGGAATATATACTAACGTGGAGGAATACCTGTACTGAGCTGTCACCATCAGCGGCTCACCTCTACTGTCCTGCAGCATATATACCCAAATAATGATATTTAATAATCTAAGCACCATGCTCACATCATTAAATACTACTCTATATATATCCCCATGGATGACATAGAGTAACCGAATTATCAGACATTAAACCCACACCATTGCACCTCTGTGGTAGGCTAACCACACAATTATAATGACATAGATATAAAGTAAAACCGATACTCAAACAAAGTAAAGTACCGAGAGTATATAAAGAAGAATATTCTATTTTTTTCCAAAGGTCTTGCAAAAGAGGAAAGGAAAACTACTAGAGCCATATCCGAATTCCTCCGAAGACTCGAGAACTCCGAAAGCTATTCTATACTACTCCACTTAGCACTAGAGCAGTAAACTAAAGTTGAGAAAGATCAAGTCTTGCTTGAGTGTGTATTGAAGTGGATTAAGTGACCCATTTATATAGCCTTCCAATAACGGTTATGGCAGTTGGAATTGTCGAAAATGCCCCGCAACCATCATTGGGAGTACATCTGAAGCGTCCATGTGGAGGGCCGAGATGAGACGATGCTGTCAGGGTTTGGCCAAACCCCTGGTTCGGCCGAACCTGAGCCGGCCCAGTAGGCCTCCAGCTTTGGTCAGGAGGCTAACATGTGGATCCTCATGGCGGTTGTGGCAGTTATGACAGTTTTCATGACGGTTACACCTGACATGTGGGCCCCTCTATCCTTAAGCTTGCTTAGGAGTGAAGTTTTCCTTTATTACTTCTTTATTTATGCATTAATCTCTGCAAACAAATAATACTCCAAGTACAAGTGAAAATATATTATTCTAAAATAAATATGCATTGTAAGTATAGCTAGTTCTCCTTTATTTTAGTTATATTGACGGTCGAAATTGGTCTATAATGGCCGTCAAAATTAGTGTAACTCAGGAAAATTTGGACTTTTAGTAGGGACAATTAATGTGCGCCCGCATGGACGGTTCGCAATTTCTGTTCAACATTTCCAAAATATTATACCTCACCGTTGAGAAACTATTTCACCCGATGTTTTTTATATTTTTTGTGAACTTAGCAAATTTTACTTAATTCAATTTTCTTTCTTTCGGTTCCAAAATATCCAAATTCCTGAAATTTTGCCCCCCTCCCCCCAACTAAGATTTATGCATACAGGAATAGTAAACTTATACGTTGAGAAACTAAGATTTATGCTCGTGCCGCCGTCGCCTCGAGCCCCGTCCCGCCGTCGCGTCGCCCGTCCCGTCGCCGCGCGCCCGTCCCCTCACCGCCTCGCACCCCGCGCCGTGGCGCCGCCGTCACGTCGCCATTAACCGGCCTCCCTCTCTTCCCTCTCCCCTTTCCCCCCTCTCTCCCCTATAAAAACCCCACCTTCCCCATTCTCCCCACTCCATTCCCTCCTCCTCCCCTCTACCCTCTCCACCGTGCCGTCGTTCTCGTGCCGCCGCGCCGCTGCCCTCGGTGCTGCCGTACCGCGCCGTGTGCCGCGCTGGGCGACACCATGCCTTGCGCCGCCGTCGCCGCCGCCGCCCTCCCCTCGTTCCGCCGCCGTTGCCGCCCGGGGAGCATGAGCCGAGAGAGAGAGGGAGGAAGAAAGAAGCCGGGAGGGAGAAAAGAAAGAAAAGAAAGAAAAAGAGAGAGAGAAGGAAAAAGAGAGAAAGAGAGAAAAGAAAGAAAAGAAAAAAAAGAAAGAAAAAGAGAGAGAGAAGGAAAAAGAGAGAAAGAAAGAAAAGAAAGAAAAGGAAGAAAAGAAAAAGAAAAGGGGAATAAATAGGAATTTGAGGGAGATTAAGAAGTTTAGAAAATTTAAAATAATTAGAATTTAATTATAGGATAATTATAGCCTAGAATTGTAAAATATTAATATGATTATAGATTATTTTCGGTAATCTCTGTAAGTGGTCGTTTCACGGTAGGAATTTAGATTTATTTAAGAAATAAATAATTATGTTTAATTCCTAGGAATGTACTTCCAAATCACAAAATGATTTAGGTTAAATGACCCAACAATTCGAATATAGTGGTTTCGCAAACTTTGTAGTCAATTTAGAAAGATCGATTCGCGTTCGACTTTTATGTGAGTTATTTGAATTTTATTTGAATTCTAATTGAATTCAAATCATTTGTTCGCACGTAATTTTAGAGCCCGAGGGAGTTGCGGATCCGAGCGAGGGTCAAGACCCGCAAGACTTCGAGCAAGGCAAGTCATCACTATTCTTTGAACATGTTGATCCCAATTGCGAAATTATTTTGTTTACAAATAAAATTGCATGAAATGATGAACATCCTACTTGTGATTATGCCATGTCTTGATTATTGTTTACCCCTTATTCCTTCGTAACCATGTTTACATATGAGTCCCTAGTCAATTATGACAATTGCTTAGAAATGCTATTCTAAAATCATGCATACTCATATTTATCAAATGTTATATGCTTGGGCAATTACCTTTGGGAAGGTAATTGAGATGCGGCATGTGGAGACATGAGCGCCACATTGCCATGATATTGATGACATGATTTGTGAAAGGAGAAATAAACTAAACAACTGTTTTCGACTGGGGCGGACAAAGGATTTGGGTGGTATCTGGAAAAGGCTAGTACTGTCCCCAGTCAATTAAGGACCGAGCCATGAAGTTAAGCATGAAACGACCCCCGTACAACCGTACTTCTCGTATGGGTATAGACCTAGCAGACTAGATGGCCGAGCGGAGGTAGTATCCCTGCATAGATGGTTCACCCCTGAGTGAGGCAGGTGCGCTACGGTGGGACAGCCGTTGAGGTAGGGCCGAGAGGCGAGCCCTACATCGGTGTCGCCATTGGTAGGACTGCCATGAGTGTGTGAGAGAGAGAACTTAACTTGAACCATGATTTAATATGTGTGTGAGACTTCTCTTTCCCGGGAGCGCCAGAACTCCTCTCACTGCTAGAAACATGGATGCCTAGAGTGCATGAGGATTTAAGTTCATGGAGCGGGTACTGCCAATGCGAGGTTATCGAAAAGCTTTGCCGTGACGCGTCTCATGTGTTGGGACGAGGCTCATGTGTTGGGCAGTCGCGGAGTACGGGTAAAGTGTACATCCACTGCAGTGTGAGTAAACCAAATCTATTTGAATAGCCGTGCTCGCGGTTATTGAGCACCGGGACGTGTATTACACTTGGCTAGACTCTAAATTCTTAACTTGTGTGGGATGGGATATTGCATGATAATTTTTATGCTGTTGGAGCCATTTCCTAAGAGGCGGGAAGGTGGACGTCCTCAGAAAACCATGACGACTCAATGGCGGGAAGCTATCCTTGGGATTACAATGGATGGTGGACAGAACCGTCGTTGTTTAAATGTGAACACTGGTACTAAAATTTGATCAGTCAATGCTAGGTCTTAGTCTTGTGAAAAGAATTACAAAACTGGCTTTGCGCAAAGAACCATAGCCATCCTTTGAATACCCCTATCATGTGCATTGTTGCTGTGATGGCTTACTGAGTATGGTTGGTACTCACCCTTGCAATATATAAACTTAATCAGAGGCCGGAGATGAAGCTTCGGAGGATCCCTACGCGTACTACCAGGAGGGTGATGAAGACGATGGCGCTCAGTAGGTCTTAGTTACGGTCGTTGCCTGTGGCAATGGCGTGCCGCTGCCTTAACTCCGCTGCCTTATCCACTTCTGCTTTTGGAATGTATTCCGGACCGCTCGGTCCGATGATTTAAGACTATGCCTGCGGGCTTATGATGTAATAATTCGCACTAGACTATCGTGTATGTGCATTTGGTATTTCAGCTATGAACTCGTGTGTACCAGACTACTTGATCCAGGGAAATGGTACTGTTTACATGATTGATTTCTGTTATAAAAACGGGGGTCTACAGGCCTATTTGGTAGAGCTCCAAATAATTTCAGTTTCACCTAAAATGGGAGCGGAGCTAGGTTTAGGAGTTGAAGCTCTACGCACAACCACAATGTAGCAATAGGAGGAGGTCTTAAGCCTCTAAAGTGGTACTTATACATTGTGAAAATAGTCTATATAGTAGTCTTTAGAATGAGTTATCTATATGCCTACCCATAAGAATAAAACAACAATACTTTTTCTTCTCACTCTCCTCTTCTCCTCTCATGTCATACAATTGAATGGGACAAGTGAAAGCTAATGTCTTCTCCTACCATATACATTGTAGCAAACACCATAACATATATCGGATTTCACCTTATTACTCAGGTACTAGTAGATATTATACTATATTTTAAGTATGTCGTGAAAGTTGGAACCCTACCATTACTAGTCAACCGAAACCAACAGCAGCTCCAGGATTTGCATCTAGGCGAAGCCAAACCCACATAACGAACGCAGCGCTCCCTGCGAAAGCTGAGAGGAGAGCTCCGGAGGAAATGGAGCAGCTTGTGGGAGTTCACCACCACCATTCTTCTTCCTCCTCCCTCTCCCCGCGGACTCCATCTCCAACCCACCCACTCCCGCATCTCCTGCGCCTCCCTTCCAGCTCCAACCGGCTCCGCCCACCGGATCACCCCCACTCCTCTCATCCTGTCTCCAAGCTCCTCCGCGTCACCCCTCCCTTCTTCCTTGTCCTCCTCGCCGCCGTCTACCTCCTCGCCTCCTTCACTATCTTCTCCTCTCCCGCTGCCTCGCTCCGCCCCACCAAGAACCGCCCCAAGCTCCTCCTCCCCATGCCCGCCCCCTCTCCCCCTCCCCCCGACCTCTTTGAGCTCCACGGTGGCAGGATCCGGGCCTGGATCACCAATGTCGGCGCCACCGTCACCTCGCTCCTGGTCCCAGATAACAATGGTGCTGCCTCGCTGGATATTTTTGCTCTTCTTGTCTTCTTTCTTGCGCTGCTTGGGATTGATTCACGGTGTTGTTTGAGTTTTTGTCAGGGGTTCTTGGTGATGTGGTGCTTGGATTCGATTCCCTGGATCCTTATCAGGTCAGTTGCTGATGCGTATTTCTAGACGTTAATTAGCCTGTTCGAGGCTTACTTTTTTTTTTTACATCTTTGTGGTAGTAAGTGTGACGACTAGGCTGGAGATTTTTTCATCTTTTCACATGTCGATGTCTAGTAGAATTAAATACTGATGATGGGGCACAGTACATGAGTTTTGTTTGTTTTTCTTTTCCAGGAGAAATGCAGCACATTTAATGATGCATGCCTGAATAACTTGAAGCTGGTTACTAGTACTAGTAATTACGGTTGGAGGTATAATCTGATAATTAAATTATATGTTTAGTTTGCAGTCTGTAGCACTTTTACCTGTCTACTGGAAGTAAACTAGTAAAAAGAACATTCCACATCAGTTTTGATCATTACTTGTCGGAGCTTTTAAATCGTCCGTAAGTATGAAAGTGAAGTATAAAAAGTTACTGAAATAATTAAGTATCCAGTTAGTAATTCCCTTCATATCCATTTTGTACCCCTCTAAAATATATTTATGGCATGCTTATTAGTCACTTCTGAGAAATTCTCTCCTTAATCGAAGAAAATTTGGTGATAAAATCATAGGACTGAGTTATAACAACTTTGATCTGATCTCTGCATTGATCTTGTTTCATGTTTGCTTGCTTTCCCAAGTTACAAATTGTCAAAAAAGGAAAATTGATCAGGAATGAGGATTGCTCACATGGGTTCAGCTGCCTAAAGAAATTCCAAACATATATTGGGTTAGGAAACATTAAATGCATTCACTTATCAATTGTACCTCTCTTTTAATTTACCTTTTCTTCCCTTTTGTAATGATCCTTTGATCATCATGGGGTAAACATCCATCACAGAGAGTTTGGTTGGTGACAACTTGAAGTCGAGTGGCTTTGTGAAGGATTTCCCCATTTGGGGAGGAATAGATTCAGACAAGATGGCCATGGGAAAGACCGGCACTTAGAGTTTTAGGGACCAGGGATTTGTTTATTTATCTTTGTTTGGCTAATAGAGATGATTTTCTGATCCTTAGAAAGGGGTAACTTGACTTTCAAGAAGATAATCTTACAAATCTAATCCTATCTCTAAATTAACGAAACTAATATTATAGTACAGTAACACGTTCACACATGGATAATGCACATTTTCTAACAAGCAGCTCTCGCTAGAAAGGTTAGTGTGATTCACAGCATGTGAATTTGGCACATAGGAAAACATGTTGTATTCTTAAGTGTGTCGGCATGTTACCAATTCCTTTTTCATGTTTTTGATTGTGTTATTCCTATTGAAGTGTATGGGGAGAGATGTACTGTGAATATTGGACGATTGTATTTAGCCTCGGGGTCCCGGTATATATAGGAGTACATGTAGAGGAGATAAGGAAGGAGTCCATACAAATCAATCATATCCTAATATATCTCTAATTACCATATTACAATTCCCTATAGCTGATAATTCATATTAGCGCCTTTATGACTGTTCTCTTGGACTTTGTAAATCATATGGTTTAAAGTGATGATTTCTTCTTTTCTATTTTCCCATCTAATCAATCAATAAAAGTATCAGTGTATGGGTTAGCGTCTAGCCTACTACTACATCATAAGGCTAATATCATCATCAATCATGCTGTTCACAGCATTGAGTTCATAACTACCAAATTGTGCTTTTTAAGAAACTTCAGTATTTGTTCTGCTACATTATGTATTGGCAGCATAACTTTGGATGGTAGTCTCATAGCACATAATCTAGAAATTAACATTCAAATGATACAACACTCATTGAGTTTTCCTAACATTGTTTTGTGGTCACTAATTTCTAAGTCATAAAAAAACCAATATATTAGATTGCTGTATGGATATTTATGATGAGTTTTACTTCATCAATACTTAATTGCAGAATGAGGTGGTGTTCTAGCACTTGTTTTATAAATAATTAATAAAATTGTGGCCGTGCGACATGTTACATGTCAATTTTTTATAGGCAGCCCCCAAAAAAATGCAGCATAGCAAACACCAATTGCATTTTGTCTAATTACCCTATGGTGGCCAGCTGTTACTTCAAGCACCTGAAACTGACCTCACGAGCCTTTATTGTTGAAACTTCTATGAATCTTACATTTGGTCTATGTTTCGTCTACAATTGTGTGATCCCTTTTAGAACTCTTCGTGGAACTTGTTAAAACAAGGATAAAAATTCCAAACATGCAAATTCAACAACTTCTTGAAATTTCTGGAAACCTGCTTCTAACTCCTATGGAACTTGAAGCTATTGTCTGAAACTCACTGAAACATGCTTGGAAATATGGCTAGGTCCCCATCGTTTGGCATATTCATATGCTTATCAGCCAAAATTTGAATTTTCAACGTTAAATTTGGAGCTAATTTTGGGGTTTTTTCATCGAAGTTTATTTTTCAGCCTTTGCTTTTAGATCTCTAAGAACACATATATAAAAGTTTTATTTACAAATTACTTTTCGTTTGCAAATATGCCATTTGGCTTATTCCACCAATATGCCAAACGATGGCACCCCTATTTTTTAATATGCTTATATAAGTTGGTTTGGCACTGATGGTTTGAGTTTTCCTATGATCAGAATGGCACTTCACCTTATTTTGGCTGCATTGTTGGGCGAGTTGCAAATAGGATCAAGGATGGGAAGTTTACTTTAAATGATAAGCAGTATAGTCTGGCTATCAACAACCCTCCAAACACTCTTCATGGTAAGACATAAGGTACTCTGCATAAATTCATTGTTTTGTGCATATTTCAGGCATACATGCGTAAGTAATAGTGAACTATTGCCTGTTTGTCCTTGTGTGAATCATCTGTTGCTGATCAAGTGTACATGATAATGATATTTCTGCTGGATTTACTTAATATCCATTTTTTATTACCTCCTAATATTTCTAATTAATCCTAGAGGAACTGTCCCATTAATACTGAGTTAATGGGATTACTAGATCCACCACCCTTGAAAAAACTAAACCTACTTGTTACTTGATGTTTCTTTATATTACGACCAAGTATGGATATTTACCTTGTCGAATCATCAGTACGGTCTATTTTCTGTAGCAGTTTGTGTTAGTGTAGCTGCCCGGTTTGGAAATTATTCTTGTTCGGTTCCATTCCCTTTTGCCAAGCCACAATAGTAATCTGTTCTTGGAGTTCATATTATTGCTCCATGAGTTACCTTATTCAAAGGTGTAGTCCCCCCAAAAAGTACATTTGAAAGAAAATTATGAGTTATTTGGCCAATAGTTTACACTCTTACACCTGATACTAGCAACAGCAATGACAAGCAAACAGCAATATGAACAGTTGGCTTGCTGTGGTGAAGATGACTCACCTGATTAGTCGCTCTATTGAAATGATTCTCTTTCTTTTTTTGAATTTATATCCTTAACAATGTTAGATATTGAGAAATGTTTGACTTGTACCATTCACTGAATTTGGATCTGGCTGTGAATTTCCCTGATACTTTTATTCCGTCTCTTATTTGATACATCTCATCCATGTTAATGCTTCATTCAAGAAACATGCAAAAATGCATATTTGGTGTATTGTGTGGTGGGCGGGTGTAGTTCTTAATTTCTCAACAAGAATGGCTCATTTGCATTCAATCTTTCATAACGGACCTTGCATTTTTTCATATTTTCGTCCTAATCTAACTGCACGCATGCATGCATAGAGGACAAAAACTCAAAAAGAGATATATGCCACTGCAGCTATTTCAATTTGGTCTTCTTTAAACTAATGCAACTGAATATGGGATCTCAGGTGGATTTAAAGGTTTTGACAAAATCATCTGGGAAGTTGCTGAATATGTCAAAGGGGAGAACCCATCAATCACCTTCAAATATTACAGTAAAGATGGAGAGGAAGGTATTTTAAAAACTTCCGGAAAACAAGCAACTATGTAAGTGCCAGGACTGATTTTAATTTTTCACAAAACAGGTTTCCCAGGAGATGTTTCTGTCACCGCTAGATATTCTATTCTGGCAAGTACGACACTGAAGTTGGAGATGGAGGCTATACCTTTGAATAAGGCCACACCCATCAGTTTAGCACAGCACACCTACTGGAACCTGGCAGGCCACAACTCAGGAGATGTGCTTGCACATACTGTTCAGATTTTGGGGTCTCAGATAACACCGGTAGATGAAACCTCAATACCCACCGGTGAGATGATGCCAGTTAGTGGCTCACCCTTCAATTTCCTGACAGAGACCACAATTGGCAGCAGGATTGATCAAGTCCCTGGTGGCTATGATCACAACTTTGTGATTGATTGTGGTGAAGTGAAGTCAGGTTTGTGCCATGTGGCGAAAGTGACAGACCCTTCAAGCTCCAGGGTCCTTGACATTTGGGCAGATGCACCTGGAGTGCAGTTCTACACTGGAAATTTCCTCAATGGCATTGTGGGCAAAGGAGGCGCAGTCTATGGGAAGCACGCCGGCCTGTGTCTTGAGACCCAAGGTTTCCCAAACGCAGTGAACCAACCTAATTTTCCCTCGGTGGTCGTTCAGCCTGGTGAGAAGTATAGTCATACGATGTTGTTTGAGTTTTCAACAAAATGATCCAGTTCTTGTAGGCCATTTTGTTTTGTTCTTTCTACGAGCTTGATGCTGCAGTGGTTGTATAGCTTTCAAATACTGCTCCACGTGACAATTTGCTACTCTGAATTTACACGAATCAGCAGACAAGGAATCTCGTGTAGGACTTGCAGGCAAGGTTCTTTTCAAGATGAGGTTAAGGACATAGTAGGAATGGAAACAGATGGAGGCCTATGGGATGGTACTGAATACGGTGGTGAAGTGGGTGAGAACAACCACATGAACCCCAGAAATTCAAGGGTCTTTTTGGTGACAATGTCGCCCACTCACACCAGGTAATTAGAGAAGATCAGATTGCACATGCAGAAAACATATTTATACAGTTAAGCTGTAAAGCCACACCAGACTGGAATCATCCTATGCTGATTATATATCAAAGTTTTGAGTTGTATTGCTAACCTTTGCTTTGCCCTCAGGAGCAAAGAGATTGGGGCGATGATTCGGACGGATATCTTCAAACTCTCTCAATGAACTGAACTTAGTTTAGTTATCTGATCCAAATCAAACAGCCAGACACTAGTGACTAATACTGACAACTAATGTACAGAGTTGACCGTAAAATGATGTTTCACAGCAACTTTGACTTCACAATCACAGCGTTGGCTACGTGGCGACAACCACCAGTCGGCTCCCGTGAAGGTGCTCCTCCATGGGGACGAAGATGGGAGAGAGGGAGATGTCAATGACATGTGGGTTTCAACATTCTGTTTTTTTTATCCCAAGTACTACTCCCTCCATCCACTAATACAAGTGATTTTGACATTTTACTTGTACTGTTTGATCACTCGTCTTATTCAAAAAATTTGTGCAAATATTAAAAAACGAAAAGTTGTGCTTAAAGTACTTTGGATAATAAAATAAGTCACTTGTCTTATTCAAACTTTTTGCAGATATAAGAAAACGAAAAGTTGTGCTTAAAGTACTCTGGATAATAAAGTAAGTCAGAAATAAAATAAATAATAATTCTAATTTTTTTTAATAAAATGAATAATCGAACAGTGCAATAAAATATTAAAATCCCTTATATTAGGGGACGGAGGGAGTACCACTTATAACGCTTACGGTCAACCTGCCACGTAAACATCAAATCAAACAAAAACTGCCGTTTAAAACCATGGAGGGATTAGATTTTAAAAGTTAAGGGTGGGTGTTCTATATACTCCCTCTATCCCAAAATAAGTGCAGCCATGGTTTTCCGCGTCAAACTTTGACCATTCGTCTTATTTGAAAATTTTTTGAAAAAAATTAAAAGCATAAGTCACGAGTAAAGTACTATTCATGTTTTATCATCTTATAACAATAAAAATACTAATTATAAAAAAAAATTTCAAATAAGATGACGATCAAAGTTGGGCGCGGAAACTCATGGTTACACATATTTTGGGACCGAGGTAGTACCACCAAAAAAAAAAGTGTTCTCTATCAGGTTTTGCCGTTGAGCGATGTGATTGAAACTCGACCATATTTGAGGGACATAAAATGAACTTTGCTAACTGCACGGCTGAAATGGTTTAATCCATGGTTTATAAGGTCGGATGGGCTCTAATCCATCGTCTAAGAAAATGCTAATGATGTGGCTTAACCAAATCATGGCTAATGAGGACATTTATAGACTAGGATAATTTCGTTCATTCCCCTACTTTAATATTTAATATTAATTTTATCTCTATATTCTACAGTTTTTTTTGTCCCTCTCTTTTTTGAAATGAATGAGGCCTTTGCCTTTACTTTGGACAGAAGTTAGTGGAGCCGGAGTTGTTGCGTAAAGAAATAGAAAATGATAGGAAATAATTTTTTAAACGACTTACACTAGACAGTGCGAAGTTCTATTGATAGGGCAGAAAAAAATTACAACATTACAACCCTGAAAGGTCATAACCAGAAAAAGGAGAAAAAAATGACCACCACCGACATACTGACAGCACCAAAACACTGACCCGGAGAAGGCTAGCACCGGACCGACCACCACCACCATCGCCCACGGGAGGACCGGATCCGGCCTCTGATGCAGACATCACTACCTCGGATACACACAACAATCCTCTAACGGTCATTCAAGGACCGATAACAAGAGCTCGTGCGCGACAATTGAATTTAGAGGTGAGCTCGTTCCTATATTCTTCTTTGTATGAATTCGAGAATAGATTGCTACCTAATAATTATATTGTGATTAGGAACAATGAAGGGGACAAGGAGACACTTGGAGAAGGACTTAGAGCCATGGAGGATCATCGAGGACGTCCAAAGTCAACGTGGAGGCCCAAACCAAGTCAACCTCGGGTGCAATTCGGAGTCTAGGACCAGTCTGTACTAAAACGGGCGTCCAAATCGCATACGTGCTCGGATTGGGGCATTCTTTATATGGATGGAAAGCTAAGAAGATAACCTTTCCAATGGTTTTGGTCCCACGTCAAAATTCTTTCCGAGTCAATGGAAATCGACCGAACAAGTTGACATCCAGAATCTGTCCCGGTACTGCATCACCGTATTTGGGCCTTTCGGCCGTGTATCGTGTTGGAACCCATTAGGGTTGCGTCGAGAGGGGGTTGCACGACCCTAAACTCTATATATCAGTACCCGCCGCCCTCTTTAGGTTTTTGGATTTTGCTTAGATTATTCTGTCGAGAACAGTTTCATCGCTAGATCGGTTTGTAAGACCCCAACTCGTGAGCTTAATCATTCATCTGCAATTTTGGTTGTTTTCTATCTCGTTCTTGTTTATGTTCTTCGATTGGCAAACAGGGATTAGCCTTCTCGGCGAGGTCATCCGCGTTTCGACACGGGTGATAACCAGAGGAGACGTGGTGCTGCGATTGCGGGGCTCAAGAGCGTGCACGTTCAAGAAGCCGGATCGATTTGTGTCGTGACTCCGCCCAAATCGTTGTTTATCAGAACCTTTCGGAAGATCGGGAACTGTGGACCCCCGTTTTTATAACAAGAATCATTCGTGTAAACAGTATCATTTCCCTGGATCAAGTAGTCTGGTACACACGAGTTCGTAGCTGAAATACCAAAAGCACATACACGAGAGTCTAGTGCTAATTATTACATCATAAGCCCGCAGTCATTGTCTTAAATCATCGGACCGAGCGGTCCGGAATACATCCAAAAGCAGAAATAGATAAGGCAGCGGCATGCCATTGCCACAGGCAACGACCGTACTAAGACCTACTGAGCGCCATCGTCTTCATCTCCCTCCTGGTAGTAGGCATAGGGATCCTCTGAAGCTTCATCTCCCGCTTTTGATTAATTTTATATTTGCAAGGGTGAGTACCAACCGTACTCAGCAAGTCACCACAGCAACAATGCATATGAAAGGGGTATTTCAAAGGATGGCTATGGCTCTTTTGCGCTAAGCCAGTTTTGTAATTCTTTTCACAAACCTAAGACCTAGCATTGACTGATCAAATTTTAGTACTAGTGTTTGTATTTAAACAACGACGGTTCTGTCCACCATCCATTGTGATCCCAAGAATAGCTTCCCGCCATTGAGTCGTTATGGTTTTCTGAGGACGCCCACCTTCCCCCTTCTCAGGAAGTGGCTCCAACAGCATAAAAATTCGTCATGCAACAACCCATCCCACACAAGTTAAGAATTTAGAGACTAGCCAAGTGTAATACATGTCCCGGTGCTCAATAACCGCGAGCACGGCTATTCGAATAGATTTGGTTTACTCACACTGCAGTGGATGTACACTTTACCCGCACTCCGCGACTGCCCAACACATGAGCCTCGTCCCAACACATGAGACGCGTCACGGCAAAGCTTTTCGATAACCTCGCATTGGCAGTACCCGCTCCATGAACTTAAACCCTCATGCACTCTAGGCGTTCATGTTTCTAGCAGTGAGAGGAGTTCTGGCGCTCCTAGGAAAGAGAAGTCTCACACACATTAAATCATGGTTCAAGTTAAGTTCTCTCTCTCACACACTCATGGCAGTCCTACCAATGGCGACATCAATGTAGGGCTCGCCTCTCGGCCCTACCTCAACGGCTGTCCCACCGTAGCGCACCTGCCTCACTCAGGGGTGAACCATCTATGCAGGGATACTGCCTCCGCTCGGCTATCTAGTCCGCTAGGTCTATACCCATACGAGAAGTGCGGTTGTACGAGGGGTCGTTTCATGCTTAGCTTCATGGCTCGGTCCTTAATTGACTGGGGACGGTACTAGCCTTTTCCAGATACCACCCAAATCCTCTGTCCGCCCCAGTCGAAAACAGTTGTTTTCACTTTATTTTCCTTTCACAAATCATGTCATCAATTTCATGGCAATGTGGCGCTCATGTCTCCACATGCCGCATCTCAATTACCTTCCCAAAGGTAATTGCCCAAGCATTTAGCATTTGATAAATATGAGTATGCATGATCCTAGAATAGCATTTCTAAGCAATTGTCATAATTGACTAGGGACTCATACGTAAACATGGTTACGAAGGAATAAGGGATAAACAATAATCAAGGCATGGCATAATCACAAGTAGGATGTTCATCATTGCATGCAATTTTATTTATAAACAAAATAATTTCGCAATTGGGATCAACATGTTCAAGGAATAGTGATGACTTGCCTTGCTCAAGGTCTTGCGGGTCTTGGCCTTCACCCGGATCCGCGGCTCCCTCGGTCTCTATAATTATGTGCGAAAGAACAATTTGAATTTGATTAGAATTCAAACAAAATCCAAATAAATCCAAATGAAAGTCGAATGCGAAAGTCGATTCCTTTATTTTAACTTTATTATTTGCGAACTAAGGCAAACCCAATTTCGATTCAAACTATTTTGCGGGTATAAATGTTTTGTTGTCATAAGTTTTTAATTTAATCTACCCGAGCATTATATCCATATAATAGGTTAGAGATTTCTATCGCGAGCTAAATATCGGACGAAATCCTAGAAATATTATATGATTTAATTTAGTCTATGACTAAATGATTAAATATAATACACGGCTAAAATCCCTAGTAATTAAATCCGAATTCCTACCGTGAATCGATTACTTATAGGGATTACCCAAAAATAATCTATAATAATCTATAAGAATTCATCTATTTGTTTAGTTATTAATTACATCTAAATTACTACCGTGAATTGATTTCTTATAGAAATTACAAAGAATAATCCATAATTTATATTAAATTTTGCAATTCAACGACTATAATTAATCTATAATTAAATTCTAATTATTTTAAATTTTCTAAACTTCCCTAATCTCCCTCTAATTTCCTATTTATTTCCTTTTCCTTTTTCTCCCTTTCCTTTTTTTTCTTTCCTTTCTTTTTCTTTTCTTTTTCTCTTTTTCTCTCTTTTCCTTTTCTTTTCTTTCTCTCCTCCCTCCCGGCTTCTTTCTCTCTTCCTCGGCTTCTCCCTTTCTCTCTCTCTCTCGGCTCCCTGCTACCCGGGGCGGCGACGGCGACCGAGCAAGGGGAGGAGGCGGCGGCTTACCGACGGCGGCGCGACGACGGCGCACGACGCATGGCGCGGCGGCACGAAGGCGGCGGTGCGGCGGCGCGAGGGCGGCGCGACGGCGACGGCGGCGCAAGGCGGCGACGCACGGCGCGGCGGCTTCGAAAGTGGCGGCGCGACGGCACGACAACGGCGGCGCGTGGAGAAGGGGAAGAGGGAGAGGAAGGGGGAGATGGAGTGGGGAAAATGGGGAGGGGGTGGAGTTTTATAGGGGAGAGGAGGGGGAAAGAAAGAGAAGGGAAGGGGCGACGCGACGGCGGCGCGGCGACGCGGGGCGCGAGGCGGCGATGGGACGCGCGGCGACGGGACGTCGACGGCGGCGGCGACAGCGGCGGCGCGCGGCTCGGGGCGGGACGCGACGGGCGGTGACGCGACGGTAGCGCGGCGTGACGGCGACGGGGCGAGACGACGGGCGAGCGGCGATAGGACGGGCGGGCGGCTCGGGGCTCAGGGCATGGCCGGACGCGTGGCAGAGAAGGGTCTAGGGCTAGGGACCGAAATCGAACACCTATGAGGCAATGAACAGTGACTTTTTCTATTTATCCCGATTTTACTGTATTTTCCATATAAATTTGATTCCACAATTCCTAATTTTACATATATGCATTTTACTCAATATTTGTGTTATCTTAACTAATGAATTCACCCTAGATTAATATTACTCATATTTTATTTTTATATAATTTATTTGAGTTTTAATTAGGGTTAATTCTTATTCCATCGTATTTAAATTTAATTGATCCAAATATGGTCGCGATAATATTTTATTTATTACTATCCACACCTAATCTTTATTTTTAATTTATATTTATTTTACCAATTTGTTTTTAAGGTTTATTCCTGATTAACTATTCTTTACTCACGATTAATAATCTTCGAGATCAAATCCAGATAAAATAGGCGAATAAGATCGGCATGATGCAATTAATTTAAAAAGGTTTTTGAAAATCCGTATTTTTAGAGTTTTGATTTTGTCGGTCGAATTTTCAGGGTGTTACAGGAACCCTAGTGCACATCAGCCTCTTCCCCGAGGGCTTTCGCCATCATCGCCGCATCCATCACCTTCTCCTGCCACCGTCGCCATGAAGTCCACCATCGCTCCGCCCCGATCTGGCCCCGGGGAGGCTAGATCTGCCGCCAGGGGAGGCGGATCAACATCCAGCGTGGCTGGATCCGCCGCGTCGACCACTTACCCGCCGCTATCGAGCAGCCTCGATGTCCCCGCCGCTAAGCTTCCTCGTGGGGGAGAGTCCCGCCGCCGCCGTCCTTATGGCAGGCCGGCTTTGCCGCCGTCCTCGTGGCGAAGGGGAGGAGGAGGGAGGGGGCGGCGGAAGGAGGATGGGGCATTGTCCGTGCTCCCGGGGGCGACGCAGACCATTAGTCTCCAACAAAAGGAAATAATGATTTTACAGAATACAATTGACCTTTCTGGCTCTGGTTATTTTGCAAATGTCAGGAGGCCCTTTCTTCTACCGCTGACTCCTCTCCCCAATCCACATCGCAAACCCTACAGTTCAGCGGCAACAACGGCGGCAGCGAAGACTCGGCCATGCACAGTCGGTGTCGGTGGGCCGTCCAGGCGGCAGGAAGCAGCAGCCATCATCGATGACCGAATTAGGTGGCCGCGAACCAACCAAGCCGCGACGGCGAGCAGGATGGCATGATGGCGTGGGAGCGGGCAAGGTGGCGAGGAGCAACAGTCATCGTCGCCGACCCGACCAGGCAACCGTCACCCAACCAAGACACGGCGACAAGGAGGGTGTGGTGGCAGCGAGCAGCAGCCAATGTCGGCAACTTGACCAGGCGACCGCGACCCGACCAAGCATTGGCAGCGAGCAGGAGGCGTGGCGGCGGGGAGCAGCAGCCGTTGTCGATGCTTCTTGAGCGAATCTTGCAAATGGAGGAGATTTTCATGGAAGGTGAATGCTGAAAAAATGTTGTCCAATTCTGTCAAAATGCTATTGAAATGTTATCAAAATTTTATCTAAATTCTATGAATCTGATCATGTCACAGTTTTGTCGATGTTATGTCCAAATTGTTATATAAGTCATAGTTTATCAAAAGATAATCCTATTTTCGAAATCGAGTTCCATGAATGAGGTAAAAGCACAATTAATGACACTATAGAGCTAAATGTGCGACATCAAGTAAGGGTATAAATGTGATTTTGCCAATGACTTAACACCGTTAACTTTGTGTATTCGTTTAAAAAAACAGAGACAAAAATAATAACCTAAAAAGTAGGGAGCAAAATAAATATTTAACATCAAAGTAGGTATAAGAACGAAATTACCCCTTATAGATTTGATGTATTATTTGAGAGAGTAGAATACGCCAGCGGTCCTTAAACTTGTCAGGAGGTTTCACTTAGGTCCACGAACTTGCAAAACGCATATCGAGGTCTCTAAACTTGGTTTATTGTATCATCCCGGTGTAAACCCGCGTTTTACCGTGGTCTTGCCTACGTGACATGACACGTGGACAATGACATAATGACATGTAATTCTTTCTCCCTTTTTCCTTTTTTTTCTCCCTTCTCTTTTTTTTTTCTCCTGCGCAACCGAGCCACCGCACGCCATAGGCGCCGCCACTGCCGCGGTTTTGCCGAGCAGCCGTGCTGGAGGCGAGCGCGCGACGGCGGCAAGCACGCAGGGAGGAAGACGGCGGCGTTGATGGGGGGGGGGGAGGACAGCGGCGGCGATGGGGGGGGGGGGAGGACAGCGGCGGCGATGGGGGGGGGGGAGGACAGCGGCGGCGATGGGGGGAGAAGGGCGGTGACTGGGGGAGGAGGACGGCGGCACTGACGGGATGGAGGGGACGGAGGCAACTGGGGAAGGATAAAGGCGGCGCAGAAGGGCCTCGCGCACTCGCAGCTTGCCGCCCTCGATGCCGCCTGCGCGCGCGCTTCCCACTCACCGCTCGCCACCTCCGGCGCCGCCCGCACGCAGGCTCGCTGCTCACGGCACTGCCGTACTCCTCCCCCGTCACCGCGAGCCCAAGCTCCGCCGCCCACCGCCGATCTCCGGCCACGCGTCGCCTTGGGCGTCGCCCACGCTCCCATCCTGCCCCGTGGCTCCGGGTCAACCAGCGGTGGAGCCAGCAGCACGCCGCCAAGGCCCTCAGCTCAGGTCGACAGAGAAGGAGAGGCCGCTGAGCTCGGCGGGGAAGGAGATTAACGAAGACGGCCAGCGGCAGTGATGGACGAAGACAACGGCCGGCTGCAACAAGCTTGAAGACGGCGAGGAAATCGGCAACGGGCGGACGCTGGCACTGATGGCGTGACCAGGGAGCAGCCGGACCGCGCAGCGAGCAGATCCGCAGCGTGCGACTACGACGAGCCGAGGGTGAGGTAGGTTGATGTCTGCGGCTGCTACTTCTCATGCTGCCTTGTTGGATTTTTGGATTTTGGATTGGTTGCTTGCTGCTGCTTGGATTTAGGCACTGGATCTGACTTGTTGCTGCTGTTGTTTGCGCTGATGGAGTGGCGGTGGACAACGACGAGCAGCCGAGGTGTTGGATGGGCTCGCTGGTGGCGAGGAGCTGCCAGCGCGCCAGTGTGGACTCGGAATTGATGGGCTAGGGCACCGCCGTGTTGACCGGCGGAGGCACCGAAGAAAAAAAAAGGAGAAGAGAAAAAAAAAAAGGGAGAAGGAAGAAAAAAATATAAAAATTTCATGTCATCGTTCACGTGGGCAAAACTACGGTCAAACACAGCTTTAGACCGAGATGATACAATAAAACAAGTTTAGAGATCTCGATGTACGCTTTACAAGTTTATGGATCTAAGTGAAACCTCCTGACAAGTTTAAGGACCGCTGGTGTATTTTACTCTATTTGAGAGGTAACATGTCCTGTGCACTCTATATGCACCAACTAACAAATATTACCAAAAAAATCTAAAAATATTTGTACATATAGTTTCAATAATATTACACCTGCATTTTAAATCTTAACCTCAATTCTTATATTTTTAGTCTTAAAATAAAAAATTCTGATATTTTAGGACTACAAATCAGTCAGAATTTGTCTTCTTTCTTTTTTACTCGCTATGTAGTATGTATTTGAAGATGTGATTTTACACGTAAATGCAATACTACTAAAATTACAAGCACGTTATTTTCTAAAATTTTTAGTGATATTTTTTTAAGTTGATTTGCATATTATATACGTAAAAGCTTGATGTATAAAATACGTTCCTAATTGAGAGACAATTATATCAATACATATTAGGGGTTTATGGTCTATTAAATATTAGTAATCATATTCATTCCGATTCGTAATCGTTCTTTCCAGATGTATCATTTTTTATTCATTCTTTCCAGACATTTTCATCCGTATTCGATCCATTTTCACCCGTATTCAATCCATTTTCACCCCTACTCGAAGCTACTGAGTCAGCCCAGCCATTTCTACTACCTCGCAAGAGAAAGAAATGTAACGTCTCTACTAATGTTTATCTCTTTAACTAGCATCTTCTCTGTGCATTGCGGTGGATCTAACATAACACTCCTATATAAGATACAAATATTAAAAACTAATAATAATTATCCTCCAATCTAAAACTTACATATATGATAATACAAAACGAATTGAGCAACTATGCACGTATATACGTATGCAACGATGCAATATTTTTATTTAAAGCTTAAAAATAATACATGGATGCCTATATATTTGTGCAAAGCATCCAGATGAAGGTGGCTGAACCCAACATATTATGTGGTCACAAGCCCAATCAAATCGCTCCGATGCATAGTTCTTTAGAATAGCCAAAAAGTTGTTTTATTCTTGAATTGTCATTATGGTTATGTTTAGTTACCTTCAAACTTTCAAAAATTCCGTCACACCAAATATTTGGACACATGCATGGAGCATTAAACGTGAACGAAAAAACCAATTGCACAGTTTGCATGTAAATTGCGAGACGAATCTTTTGAGCCTTATTACGCCATGATTTGGCAATGTGGTGCTATAGTAAACATTTGCTAATAATGGATTAATTAGGCTTAATAGATTCGTCTCGCAATTTACAGGCGGAATCTGTAATTTATTTTGTTATTAGTCTATGTTTAATACTTCAAATGTGTATCCATATACTTAAAAAAATTTTGAAAAGGAACTAAACATGGCCTATGTAAAATTTATTTGGAAAGAACTATGATTTTCTTATGGTTTAAATATTCCACATAGTATATCTTATATTTTTGACAATTGGTTTGCAAAGGTTGATAAAAAAAACCAGTAAACTTATTCTTGTACGAGCAGCTATATGTTGGACTCTATGGCTGAGCAGAAATGGTATGGTTTTTGACAAATCGCTATTTATATCTTATATGCAGGTTCTTTTCAGGGCAACAAATTGGCTCCGGTTCTGAGCTCAACTATAAAAGTGTAATGAAGATACCAAGCTAATAAAAGTTGCATGTCGTAATTTTGAGTCAACGGTTATGTAATTTTTTACCAACTTTAGATGGAGAATCACAGATAGAATTCATAATCTTGTGGTCTTTTCTTGTGTTGGCATTTAGTAGTTTGTGTGTGCTCCTGTTTTATTAGGCCTGTGTTTTTATGACTTGTTGAGGAGCTATCGTATTTGGTTGAATTGGTGTAATAATTGGTTATAGCTTTTTAGCAAGGTCGGGATTCCGGATTCTATTCATTATCTAAAAACTTGTTTTCAATGAATGTATAGGTAAATCTCACAAGCAGCTCACATCTAATTGCAGAGTATTAATCGCTTCTCCCTTTCTTCGAAAAGATTAACAAATCGCTGAAGCGATAACGAGTATAGCCATCATCTCATGAATATGCAATTAGTGTAGTATGAGAAAACAATCAAACATTAATTTGACAATTGCGAATGAACACTCTGATTGAACTCAATTTAATCCGTTTAATGTTCTTTTTTCTATGCACCATATGTACAGAAAAAAAAAGAGAAAGCGTAAAGGGGGAACATGAAGGGATCTTGGAGAAGGTTGATACAACCGAGAAACAGAGGGCTAGATTGGCACTCTGGCTTCCCGCCAGAGGGTGGCACTCATTGCTGCCACTAGGGGTGAAATCGGGTCGGGTTCGATCGGATCTCACTCTTCCCATATCCTAACCCATATTTTATAATCGGAATCGGGTTGGATACGGATAGTATCGAATACGGATACAAGCACAGATAATATCGGGCACAAATATGAGACGAATACGTACCTAGACGGATACGACCACTATCGGTTACGAATATCTTTTCGGATATCACGTCAAAGCAACGATCATCTATACTATATAGAAAATAGCTATATATTCAACCATCCCCATATATCCATAATGTGACTATATTATTAGGGTTTAAGATATATGAGCAATACGACAAGGAACAATCGATTTTTAACTGGAAAAATTGAAAGTTTGGTTGAAATTGAAACGATGTGATGGAAAAGTTAGAAGTTTGTATATGTAGTAAAGTTTTATACGATAGAAAAATTGGAAGTTTAAAGAAAAAGTTTGGAACTAAACTCGGCCTGACTTGTGATGAGCTGCTGACTTCCTGTTCCTGAAGAGATGAGGATCGGCTGGCAGCAAAGGCATGTAGCGGCGGTGGCCGCGGCTCAACGGATGCAGCAGGTGGCGGCGCGCCGCAGCACCGGTGGTGCTCGTAGTCTCGGCGTCATTTCTTAGTGGGATTAGTGAACACTGAACAATAATTAGTATTTTTGGTTGTTGGGTTGTTAGGCATGGTTTACTGGTTGATGGTGGTCATTCTACTAGTGGGCCTTTTGGCCACTAGTGCTTTATTGGGCTTGGCATGTTATCTGGGTATTTTTACCGGATAATCCGTATCCATCAGATACCGTCCTCCCGAACCCGATCTCATATCCGATAGAAAATACCCGTATTCGAACCCACTACCCATAGAAACTTCCGGGTACCCGAATTTTTTACCCGAAATTGTCCCGAATAATACGGCCGGGCGGGCGGGCGGGAAATACCCGCCCCGTTTTCACCCCTAGCTGCCACCTTCCGTATCCTATCTTTCTATCTTTCTATATGGTTGGTACACATTAAAAAGCATTTACTCCTATAAAATAAGACATGTAAGAAGCCACATCATCATTAATTCTAAGCCATCGGATCGTATTTGTGACATCCCGGCCCAGGGCTTAATAAGATTAATAGAATACTCATATCAACAAGTTACAACTTCTTTTTCAGAAGCTGATCTCCAAAGAACTCTAAAGTTAAGCGTGCTTAGCCTGGAGCAATTTGGGATGGATGACCGATCGGAAAATTATTCCCGGGTGCACATGTGAGGGCAATCTATGACTTATAAAAGCTGTCAGATATAAGTGGGCCCGGGTGGGACATTACAGAATGGTATCAGAGCCTGGCCTGGCGTGTGTCGCAGTTGCGCAGACATGACGTTACTGAATGGTACCAGAGCCAGGGCGGGACATTATAGAATGGTATCAGAGCCTGGCCTGAGATAGGTGGGACGTTACAAAATGGTATTAGAGCTGACTCTCGCGGTTTCACGAGCGCATGTGTCGCAGTTGCGCAGACATGACGTTACTGAATGGTACCAGAGCCAACTCTCGCGGTTTCACGGGCACGTGAGTCACAGTTGCACAGGCATGCTGCGTATGGCTGGTGTGGATCCGGAGTGGTCACACAGCATGGCACATACGCTGGCAT